ACAAACGAAAAAATTATAAATGACAAAAGTTTGAATTAATTTATTAATTATTACATCAATTAATCAAATTAAGGTCCAGAGAATTAGTTTCTCTATACTAACAAAAGTGTTATTAACGTTTAGTGATTTTTACAATCAGAAAAAAATTATGTTGTATTGTGATAATGCATGTAGTGTTTGTTAGTGTATAACCTAGATGCCCGCCGTTCATTCGTTTCAGCATAAGTTTTTCATTTTGTAATCTTTTATATTCATCTTTCCAGTTCTGCTTCACTTGCTGGTCTCTTCAGGCAAAACATGTCAATAATAACACAAAGAATTAATTTGTGTGTGTTTTTTTAACCAATCAACGCTCTATTCCAATTACTACCATTAAGTTGCATGATTTTTCAAATATTTTCTTGATTAATTAGGCGAATGAATAAAAATGATTTCGAACTTTCTAGCCTGAAGGATGCTGTTGACTTTGTTGAGTTTGTTTCTTTGCTTGCTCTGCCTGGCCTCCTCCTTAAACTTGTCCTCAACGATGTTTTCCGAGATCGGCTGGCCGTACATGTTCGAAAGGTACCTCTCACTTTGAGTTGTCAGCTGTTTCTTCTGTCTGAGTGATTGAAAATTTTTAGTTCGTTCAATGAATATAGATTCAATTCGCTAAAAAATAAATGTGTTTAGGTTTGATTAAGACGGCTAAATCATTCATTCAGTCACTCCTTTATTGACTCATTCTACAAACTTTTCTGGTTTTTTGACAAGTTTGTTGTACAATGAAAAAGAATTTGCATGTTTGTTGCTCTTTTCAGATGAAATGCCAGACGACTGACGGTATATGTTGAAATCAATTTGATCAGCGTTGTTGTTGTTGTTGTTAGCGTTGTTGTAGTTGTAGTTGTTGCTTGAGTTTGAGTTGTTGCAACAATCTGACGAATTAACAAATTTGCAAATAACAAATTTATAGCTGGAAATTTATTTCATTGTGAACAACCATTGTCTAGACTTTTCATTAGGAATGATCTAATATATTTCAATCCCATCTTTATGACGTCATCCGGAGGGTATGTTATCGGGTTGCGCCTGACGTTCAAGCCGGTAAGCTTAGGGGCCAGAGCTAAAGTGATAGTTTAAAAATTATCTCCTAACTCAAAATTTAATCAAATATAAATAATAATAAGCATAACAGTCAATTATTGACATAAACTGATTAATATCTTTTAATAATATCCAAAATACTTAGAAATAAATTTAGATAAAATCTAAAAAATTCGCACCTAGTTCGGTTGGCAAACGAGTTATTATATTACTCTCCAACAGCAAGACCTCCAGTTTCAAATCGGGGTTATCCAACCCCAAATTTGGCAGCCCTTCTAGTTTATTATTCCTAAGATCCAACCATTTTAGACTCGGTAGACAGTTAAATAAGTTGTCTGGTAGTTGTCGTATTTCATTGGCTTCCAGGTTTAATCTCTTTGTAAAGACAAATTTTTGTACATAGTCTATAAAGCGATCGTAAATATCCATTATATATAATATTCTGCTATAAAACCTCTTCAAATTAGCCGAAACAGATTAAAATTTAATAAAAAAAATCGTTTAATTATCATTTTATATAAAATTAATAAATTAACTTAATATTGCACTTCTACTTAATAATAAACATTTTAAAATTTATAAATTTCAACCGTATTACCTCTAAATCTCGAAGTTTTAGTAAGGAGTCTGGCATTTCTTTCAACTTTTTATATGATAAATTTATGAATTTTTGGTCAGAAAAACTACAGTCGGCTAAAACCAAATCACTTTTAACATCATCTTGTTCTAGATTATGATCGCTATCACCATCTTCATCATCTTGGCAATAATCTTCATCACCTTTGTTATTGATATCTTTAATCATTCTTAACTCGTTATCATTTGTAACATGTTTTCTCTGTAAAGAATTATTATTTGAGAGATTTAAATTCAATTCATCTTCACAATCTTTTGACATTTTTTATATATACAATGCATGTACGTCTGTATGTCAATTTGTGCATGTGTGTTTGTGTGTTTGTATCAATGCATGTATGTGTTTTGTGCATGTTACGCATGGCTCTAGAGAAACGTATGATGAATGTTTATAAACAATGTTTCTATGGCTACGGTGTTTTTGGCGCGTTTGCTTTAATATTCGTTGATCCGCACAAACCACACATACTCACACACACACCACACACACACCACACACACACACCACACACACCTACACACACAGACACACCTACACACACAGACACCCACACACAAACAGACATATATACACAGACAAAATACACGCATATACAACCTTAACGCAAATAAACATTCATATACACACTAATAACAAATCTAATAACTAATAACACATACGTATACAGGTTTAAAACACACACAGATCCACACACACAGACACACACACAGACACACACACACAGACACACACACAGACAAACAAACAAACAAATAAACAATTCCAATTCGGATAATCAGGTTTAAAACACAGACAGACCCACACACACAGACACACAGACACACACACACACAAACAAACAAACAAATAAACAATTCCAATTAAGATAATCATCCTCAAATGTCAGTTAGTAATAACAGTAGCCGATGTTATTACGGACAAAAACATCCGATAGTTATTCAGTTATAAGGGATTCACGTGCACACACACACACACACACATACACACATACACACACATACATACACACACACTCAGACACACACGCACACAAACGTATATATATATATTGTAATCGTTTAAAAACCTCAGTCTATATATATACTCTAACTTTTTAAACAAACTGACAGAATAAAATAAATACATCGAAAAAATAAAATAAATCATAGCTAAAATTAAGAATTAATTGAATTAATAATTGAAATAATAATAGTTAAATAATTGATTTTAATAATTGAAGTAATAATATTTAAATATTTGATTTTAAGATGCTTTCCAGGCTGGTCTTGTTTTGTTGGCTTCTGACGCTAAGGGCTGTCGCTATTTCATCTGGAAATGATGAAGGTTGACTGATTGGTGATAACTTATCAATTATTATTTTCATTATTTATTCATTCATTCGTTTGTTCATTCATTCATTTGTTCGTGTGCGTTTGCGTGTGCGTGCGTGCGTGTGTGTGTATGTGTGGGTTGGTTTTGTCATGTGCTTGAGTTGAGTAAAAAAAGTTAAATTTATATTGTAAATCTTAGAATATGATGAAGATCTGGAGAAGGAATTGTTGGACTTGTTGGAAGATGCTGAGAAGCCTTAGTTCTTATTTTTATTTTTCATTCATTCATTCGTTCGTTCATTCATTCATTCACTCACTCACTCACTCACACTCACTCATTCACTCACTCATAAAAAAAAACAAAAAAATAGCATTCCGGAAGAGGAAGTAGAAACTTTGAGAAGAGCATCTTTGATGAGGGAGCGCAAGCAC